TGACGGCCAAATAGATCTTTTACGTTCTCGAGGTCGGAATAGAATTGCTCTTGATGGCCAACTAGTAAACATGATTGGTGTATTTGTTTTTGTCTACCCAGGTTTTATCTGAATACACGCGCGCGCGTTGTATATAATTAATTTGTACATTATGATCTAACAAAATGTCTGTAATAGCTATCTTCTGGATACGATTCCATTAAAAGTTTGTTGTTGATTGGTGCGCTATTAGAGGTATGTTATACTTGTCTATTATTATTTATTATTATTATAAAAGAAATTTATCTGACATAAAATGTATGTAGCAACCGACAGATGAATGTAGTATGATTAAGAAAAATCTTGAGGTGTTAAAAAACAATCTTAGAGTAAGTAATAATGTCGATTTTAGTAATCTATGATATTGATTTAATATTAATAAATTTTTGATGTATTTATAAGTCACCAGCTTCAGACCAAGATACCGAATTATGTGACGCTTTGCTTGGTGTATTAAATGATATTAGAGCCGACCAACTTGATTGGACGAATCCTATTGCCAGTCAAATTCTTGACGATCGTTCTCCTTATGTAGAATCGTTGACAGGACTAGCTCGCAAGCAATTTATGGTATATATGTCAAGATCTTTGACAAACTTATGGAAAAGTGGGGGTTTTTTTTTACTTTGTAGAATGTTCTTGTAGGAACCCTTAGAACGCATGAAACCCAAATTGCCTTCCGAAATTGCTATGAAATGTGTAAAATTTGCGCATGAATACAAAAATCGGCATGATAAATTTGATAATTTCAGATTGAACCTCGTTCATGATGCATCGTGGAAAGATGGGATTTCGAAACAAGAAAAAGTTGTCGATAATATATTGGCCGTAATGTAAATAATTTTCGTAATGTAAATAATTTTCTGATTTTTTAATATTCAGTATAAATTGATTTAACTGCTTATTTATGATAGAGATGAAACTTGGAATAATCCAATGTATTCGGAAGCCGAATTTCGCAACAAAATAAATAAGGGTACCTATGTCGCCGACATTGTACTTCCCCTTATTCGAGCTTCGTTGAATGGTCTTCAGTGTTATATCACTACGTAGGTTATTATGATAATTATTGTCGGGAGGACTTACATTTTCAGATATAGTGGTATCACGTAATCGGACGCATAATAGAGATCTTAGCAAAATTTTTTGTTACATGATCTACATATAAACGATTGGCTATTATAATCAGTGTTGTCACTGCCATTTGGCTGGCCATTGGCCGAATTGGGCAAAAAAAAAATTATTTTGACGAAATGGCCAAATATTCATATAGATAAGCTAGCAAAATGATTGGTTAATGTCATAAAGTTAGAAACTTTTGGCCGAAGTTTGGATTCTGGCCATTGGCTGTTGCCTATTTTGGCCAGCCAAAAAAAACTGTTTGGCCGCAAGAAATTGCCAACACTGATTATAATGTTGTGATTGCTATATCGATATTAATCGCTCTGGATTTACAACTGTTTCTGCTTCCTGGTATTATTAAAATAACGTAATAATGATGTATCCTTTTTTATAGCGCTGAACACCAAAGTGTAGCGAGCCAAAGTCGAAAAAATGAGCAGGAAAAGGATGCACGAATCGGTGACAAACCTGATATTATGCTCGCGATGACATCAAATAACAAAAAATTTGAGCTTCTTTTTGTTGAATGTTCTCGAATATTGTGTACTTCACGGGAAAAAAACGAAGATTCTACAAAACTGTGGCGTGAAGTAAACGATGGTGTGTCCTGGATTGGGAAGGCATGCAAACCCGCAAAAAATCAATTTGGTGTTACAGGAACCCAGATCTATGGTAAATTTTTTTTTAAAAAAAGGTTGTTCACTTTACCAGTTTTTAAATAAATTATTGTCAATTCTAGGGACTAAAATGAGTTTGAATGTTCTTATGCAAGATTCAAATAATCTAAATCGGTACTTTCACGTGAAGGAGGTTGAAATACCATTAATACCATGTGATGCTAACGGAATTATCAATATTGTGGACCTATTGTTGACCCTCAGAGTATATATATTTTTTTTAATTTTGATTATTTTTCATGTTTTTTAACTTATGATGTTATTTCATATCGTAGAACATTGTTATTATCAATCATTCTTTACTACGAAGTGCGGTAAAAAATGCTTTGAATCATCAACCTCATATGGTTATACCAAGTACAACTGTTAAAAAATTTTAAGAAAAATAAAAACGCTATATAGATATCTAAATGATTAAAATATTATTTTGTTCTAAGATTTAATACTAAAAAAATTCAAAACATGTAAATTTATTTCTATATATCATCAGATAATAAAGCTAACTAATAAATTCGATCTTAGTAAAAGTTTGGTTTGTCTACCCCATGGCGTGCATCCACCAGTTTTAAGAGTTAGGCGATTTATACCCAGGTATTCAAGCACAATATATGCTATATGTATCATGTTAGGTAGATATAATAAAACATATTTGTATCTATGGTATATTCCTCTGCACAAGTACCCTGGATACAAATGAGTTAAGGATATACCCAGGTACATAAGTTAGATTTATAAATAAAATTTATTATTGTAATATGTATTTTTTGTATGTAGGCATAAGAGATAATAAGCATGTATTTAGTATTAACATTCTGGCACACAAAATTCGAACATCTCAGAATCAGCAAATTATAATTGATCAAAAAATTTTTTGTATATATATATAAACAGATTTGACTCCAAATATAGAACTATCATAAAGTTTATATTGAGTGGTTAATTTATTTTAAAATTTGTGGTATCAACTTTTTTAAAAAAAATATAACGTAATTTAATAGTTTACGTGTATTTACAAGGCTTTAGTTTTTTTGATTTGATTTTAAAACTAAGTAAACTTTTATTAATGACAAAGTCAGAAGATAATTGCACAAATATACAAGATTACATGCAATATGTAGCAAAAACAATCTTGAAAAAAGGGTTTATAAACTAATGCTAGCTCTTTTATATAAAATTAGCTTTGATTTTATAATATAATAAAGTTAGGGTAAAGTGATCTGCATTTCAATAGTAATCACGTTATTAAATTTTTTTACCACAATTGAAATTAGGTAATAATTATATGCTATTTATATTATACTATCTAGGCAAATTGTCTAGATACATACTGTAGTTCAGGGCAACACTATAGAAATGTTAAAAAATCTGTTTGGTTTGGTCCTGGTCTAGTCTTTAAAAAGTCAGATTCTGAACTAGTTAGGGACTAGTCTATAACCCTTCTAAAACTGGTTTAGCTCTAGCAGTTTAATATACAATATGTATTACATAATAGTAATTTTTACTTTTATATTTTTTTTATTACAAAATTGTAAAAAAGATGTATTTACAATATTAAAATTTTATTTAAAAATATTTCAAATCACTTTTAACTATTTTTAAATTATATCACACCTTTAAACACTTATTTGTATATACAGTTAGACCGGGTCCATATGATTTTTCTGATATTTTTTTCTTTGACAATCATTTCACCTACATCATATAATATGATAATTAATATTTAAAATAGACCATTAATGATCATCAGACTTTAAATGAGTGCGTGAGAGTGAAAACCTGGAAACCGATCATAGTAAATCATTAAATCAGTTTCCAGGTTTTCACTCTCATGCACTCAAATATTAATCATTACTCTATGTAATATCGGTGAAATGATTGTCAAAGAAAAAAATATCAGAAAAATGATATGGACCCAGTTAGACTTCTCTATAGCTATCTTCTCTATAGCCATATTTGCTTATAATTATATAAATTTTTAAAACCAACTTATATAATATTTATAAAATTTAATTTTATATAAGTATAAACTTTTTATAAGTATCAAAATTTTTTTTTTTAATGTTAAAGTGACCATTTTGGAGTCTGGTATATTTTATTTGCAATCTGGATCAAGCACCAGCTCGGTCTTGTTGACCTCACTTAACTTTGTTATACCAATGAGAGTACAATTAGTTACGTATATAAGGATATTCTATAGAATAGATAGGCAATATAAGAAATAAGTTTCGCTAATAATTAGTAATTATTAATTTTTTAATAGCAGAGTTGTGCAGTTTGCGAAGTTTGCCCACCTATTCTATAGAACATCTACATATAACTTTAGTTATTGCCTATTTAAGGATTTTACTATATCTATTTCTATCTATAGTTATCTGCTAATTGCCATATCTAAGATCTGCTTGTAGATTTTTATTTAAACTCTTTAATTAACTTCATGCCATCGTGTTGTTAGGACTAATTTATCTTTGTGATAAACCTGCTAAAGCTTTTTATATCCACAATCCAGCTAATCTAGTCTTTAGTAACTTATGCTGAGTCTGAGGACAAGTATTTGCGAGCCAAGACCGTTACTATTACTGTTGCTCTTGCAAAGTTCACTTAAACCCTAGTACACACTTTACAGACTATTACCAATTTTAATCTTAACAATTCTAAACTATCAATTCAGATAGCTCGGAAGGGCTGTAATCTGCTTCTAGTCTCTATAGTTGGGTCTTTTTTCTCTAGTACTACTTCAGCAGGCTGGTTGATAAAGTGTTTTACCAAATACTTCAGTCCCAATTGGTTTTACCAGTTCTTGATAATGATCCTTAAGTAGTATTGTCGAAGATTTGTACTACTTCTCTACTCGGGTCTTGCCAAATAAATGTCCATCATCCTTCTTGGTTCTCTGGATTAATATGATTCAGAAGCTTATTAGTATAACTCATATATCACACAAATGCTTTATAATCTCCCAATCTTGTTGATATTACCAAGGTTACAGAGATTCTGTTCTAACCAATCAATAGACAACAGTAGCTGTTATACAGATAGAATTTTTGAAATTCATTACTGGTAGGTTTTGAATCCCTTATCTAGTCAATATATCATTTGGGATATGACAACTTAACCACTTCACTAAGTTACCACACCTTTTAGTATCAAAAATTTAAAACCAAAGGTATGATTATAGAAAGGTTTGATTATATTTTTTATCATTTAAATAGATTTGTATTATACTTAATATATATTTAATAATTAAAAATACTTTATTAGGTTGATCTTTAGTATAGGTGGGCATATATAATTATTATATAATTATAATATATATAAATTAAATATTTTGAACTAATTTAAGTAATTTTATAACTTATTAGGGTCAGGATTAAGGTTAAAATTTAAATTGGCTTAAATTAATTAGGTTTTATATATTAAAATCTTGTAATAATTTATATATGCCCACTTATACTAAAGGAGATCTATTTTTTTACTTAGCATATTAGTTGCTTGTACCAGAAATTAATTTTATTTAGTATTATATATATGTTGTACCCCAAATAATAATCCTGTCCCAATTGCCAATTGGGACAGCCTAAATTAAAATTGCCCAAATCTAACCTTAATGTCTGGGCTAATTAATTTATAATTTTGGCCAGATTGTCATCTGAGAAAATTGTCATTTGGGGCATGATATATATATAAATTTTATTTAAAAATTATATATAGATTTACAAATCTAATATAAATTTATATATAATAATTATTATATAAATTTTAAATATATACAGTATATAATTATATAAAAATTTAAATAAAATTTATGTAAAATTAATATTTAGATAAGAATATTGTTATTTTATTGCTAGTAACAATATTAGCAGAGATACTTTATCTTAAAAACTTACTAGTTAACACATATCAAAAAGACTAAATAAAAATATTCAAAATTTTCAAAAATCTAATTCTAATAAAGATTTGGACCTTTATACCTAATCCTAATCTTGGTCTAAAATTGAATCCTATTTTTAAATTTGATAAAAGAAATAGATAATAGTAGTATCACCACCAGCAATAAATACTGATAATATTTATTAGATATTAGTTTATAGTGATTTATTGCTATAGTGATCTTATAATTGACCAATCAAAATTGATTATATAAATCATATAACTTTTATTAAAAAATTTAAGTTTTTTATTTATTAAAAAAATAAGCTAATAACAAAGAAATGTTATTACATAATCAAAATTTGTTATACTTATTTAAAAACCTACTTATCTACTTGCTCACTTGCTTCATTATAGCAATAAAAGTTTTTGCAACACAAAGTTTGCTAACAAAAGTTCCAAAGGCATCAAAATTATACAATAACTCCAAGATGACAATTTCAAAGAATAATGACTTCAAGACAACAACTCCAAAAAAAATGACTCCAAGATAATAACTCTAAAGAATAATGATTCCAAATAATAATGACTCTAAGATTAATAATTTCAAGATCAACTAAGGCAAAAAAAAGTATGTTAGTTAATGAAAAAAAAGCAAAAAAAAAAAAAAAGCAAGAAAACAAAATATAAAAAGAAAAAGAAAAAAAAATAAAGCAAGAAAAAAGAAATAAAGTGGATAAGGAAAAAAAGAAAAAAAGAAAATAAAGCAGAAAAAAGGAAAGAAAAGAGAAACAAAAAAAGAAAGAAAAGGATAAAAAGAAAGAAAATAAAAAAAAAAAAAATAGAAAAGAAAAAAGAAGAAAGCAGGAAAAAAGAAATTATAGTAGAAAAAGAAAAAAAACTAGAAAAAAAGAAAGATAAAGTGAAAAAAAAGAAAAAGAAAGAAAAACAAGAAAAAAAAAGAATGAAGTGAAAAAAAAAGATAGAAAATGGAAAAAAAAGAAAAAAAAGAAAAAAAAGAAGCAAGAAAAGAAGAAAAAGAAGGAAGCAGGAAAGAATAAAAAAATTAAAGCGAAAAAAGAAGAAAAAACTAAAAAAAAGAAAGATAAAGTAAAAAAAAAGAAAAAAAAGAAACAAGAAAAAGAAAAGAACGAAAGCAAAAAAATAAAAAGAATGAAAAACAAAAAAAAAGAAAGTAAAAAAAAAGAAAAAAAAGCAGAAAAGAAAAAAAAAAAAAGCAAAAAAGAAAAATTAAGTAGAAAGACAAAAAAAATGAAAAAAATAAAGTAAAAAAAAGAAAAAAAAAAGAGAAACAAGAACAAGAAAAAAAAAAGAAAATAAAAGAATAGAAAACAAAAAAAAAGAAGTGAAAGAAAAAAAAAGAAGCAAAAAGAGAAAAAAAAGAAATCAAAAAAGAAGAAAAATATAGAATAAAAAAAGAAAAAAAAGTGAAAAAAAGAAAAGAAATAA